CCTTCCTTCCACATCTTCTGCAATAGTGGTGTGAGCGTGTTTGCTGTTATCTCTGCATCTGTTTCCAGCGCTGCTGGTGGAATTCCTTCTGATCCTGCTGCTTTCTCGAATTTCAGCAACTCTACGGCGTTCAGGACTTCACTGCTGCTTTTTTCGGGTGTTTGTGTTCACTGATAGTCCCGTGGCTGCTGCTGGTGGTATTGCTAGACGAATTGCAGGTGGTGATGGTGATTGATTCCAGAGATTTTTGAAGTAGTCAGCCCATCGTTTCTTTTATTTCTCTTCTTCGGCAGCAAATAGCTTTCCTTCACTATCTTTCATTGGTTTCATCTGCGTTTATCTCTTCTCTTCCAGATAGTAACCTGGTTATTTGATATAATGTTGTCAAGTCTCTCTCACCAGCCCTCAGCCTGTTCTGCTTCACTTACCAGTGTGTCGCAGAAGTGTCTTTTATCTCTGCGAGCACTCTTCTTCACTTCATTGTCCAGTGTAGTGTTTCATATGTTGTATTCACTTCCTCTTTTCGTTTTTCATCTATGTACTGCACTGGTTCATCTTCTGCTTCACCGTCACCATCTTCGTTTCACTGCTTTATCAGTTTCCATGTGTACGTGGAGATCCATTCCTTGTCTTCCCTCTTCTTCTTCATTCCTAAAACGGTTACGCAGGTTTCCATCCACATCTTCAAGGACATCCACTGTTCTTCCATGCAGGTTTCTTCAGCGATGTTACTCGATATCTATCATTTCATCCTGGTGACTGACGTGATGTCCTTTGTAGTATTGTCCTTCAGTTTGTGTTCTGGGTGTTCAACTTGAACTGTGGCCTAACACCAACTTCCTTGAGGGCTTTCAACTTGATTTTGAAGGTAGGTTCCTTGCACTAGATAGTGGTGTGAGCGGTGTGAACCACCTACCTCTGCTAACCTTCTTCAACTGATCTTATGTCCAGTAGGCTGCGTCTCCATCTTCATTTTCTTCACAGTGAGATCAAGTCGATCTGATTTGTAGTGTATCCTGGTGTCGAATCCATGTCGCTGCCTTGTAAATATATCGTATGTTTGTACACACTTACTTACCGCCAATCACCAAATCGTTGAATATGCAGGAGTCTGCAAACAGTTCTCCATTCTCATTCATCATTTCACCGAGTTCTTCTCGATCCATGATTGGTTCTCTTTATTTGTTTTCTACTGTCAGTTTGGCATCCATGCCACCGATTAGAATTTTGATGACATCTGGGCGGGTTCTTGTCTGGTAGTGATTACAGTTGTCAGTGGAATTCCTCCCTCTTCTCTTGATCTGCATTATTTGTAGGTGCATAGCGTGGCATTGTATGATTGTAACTTTCTTTCCTTTCGACTTCAATCTCGCTTTCATGATCCTGAGGGAGGAGATTGGCCCCCACTGCATGAGAGTCTTTGGTGCTCTTCGAGGAGACATCATGATAGCCACTCGAAAACTCAGTTTGCTTGTGGTTGTCTTTGGGTGACTATATCGGAGTAGATTATTGACTGTCCAGTTGACAGTTGAGAGAGTCCACTTCCATTCCATCTGCAGGTTCTTCTCAGATTCCTAGCACTTCTGTGCTATACCTTCTCATCTATTTCGCAATCTGGGAAGCCTTGTCAGCCAGCCAGCCAGCTTCAAACATGGTGCAGACATTCCAAGTCCTCATACTCACTTTTGGTTTCATCGAGAGAGGAGAAGACACATCGGCCGACTGGCTTCTCGAAGGCTTTTACCAACCGGCGTCATTCCGTTTGCCTGAATCCGGCAAGGAATAAGTTTATTTCTATTTTTCATATTTTGTTTGTGGCTTGAAGTTTGTTTAGCGATTGTATTGGTTTTCTGGAGTAGGGTTGCTGGCCCTATGCCGAGCCTTCCCTCTTTTTCTGGGGTTAGGACCGGTTAGTAACTAGTTAACTAGGCGAGGTTGTAAGTCTCATAACTTGCTTTTAAATTCACTAGTTTCACTCTGTTTTTGATAAATCACAGTACGCCGTGAAACAGAGTTAAGTTTTTGTGAAAGAACTTGGTGCATGTATTAATGTGATGGAGTGAGGGTCGACCCATAACAGACAAGATATCATTCCAAAGGATTCTTGAATGCAAGTGTTAAATTTCTGTCACTTTAGGCAATAGACTAAAATGATGTACTTTTCGGTAACTATTGATGCTGGCAATTTCCGTTGGTAAACTGGGTCGAATCCCCCAATCTTTTTAGGCATTTTGGCTTCTATGCGATTGCATTGATACTGCCTGAAGATTCACTATGTTACAATTTCCTGGTGGTGGCTACTGGCAGAATTTAGAACGCACTTTCTGTCCTATTTAAAACTCATTAGCCGAATGAACCTGGATCCTAGTGAGTGATGTTGTTCCCACTCAGATTTCAATCTCATATTCATCCCTTTGAATACCTCAAAGTTGTCCAACATGTATGTAAAATAACAAAGATTTGCCAAGATATACTTAGGAATTCTATTTAATTAATTATCTCCATTCAAATCAAATTCTTTTTTTCAATTTATTTATTATGTGAAGAGCGTAGATTATCAATTAGATAAGTAAATCTATTGATCACTGAACAATTAATTGCTCTAATCGGATCTAATACTTCCTTTAATATAGATTAGAATTATAGAGATTGTCTGAATATGTTCAAATGTGTTATTGTCATTTCATAGACAGTTCATTTTATGCCATTAAAATATTTGAAAATACACTTAGAAATGAATTTCTTTTTCACATTGATGGATTAAGAATTGAAGTTCTTGATTAGCGTCAAGCTTGTTACTGCATTATTAGTTCATATGACTCGACAAGAGAAATTCTCAAAATTTGATAGAGTACCGAAATAAACTCTTGTTTTATTCGAAGACTATCGTGAAATTCTAACCCGTATTATTTATACCGATAGAAAAAATATATTCTCAGGCTTTCTGTTGCTTGAATTAAGTTTCAAATGCTTAATCTATAAGAGAATAAAATAAAACTAACAGAATGTGTTCGGAATTGTTAGTTGAAGGGTTTAGATAACAGTTTAATTCGTTACTTTATTTTACCAGGTTCTGTGTGAAAATCAACTGAATGACTGACTAAAAAAAAAAATCAAAAAAAATGTATTCTGCGCCAATCATTATTGGCATCTTAAACACCTGATCATTTTTTGATTCATTTATCACTGATCAATTTAAATTTGAATTCTTTTTTTCACTATTTCATATCCTTCTACTTTCGTTCACTTCATTGTTACTGAGAAATTTACCAATATGAAACGGATCCTTGTTTATCTTATCTTCTGTCTATTCAGGAGGAATTCCTTAGCCCATGAAGTAAACTGTATTTTCTGTTGTGATAAAGCTAACAAATGTGGTATTGAGATATCAGGAGTTGATATCTCTAATTATTTCGGCACTCATTTGCGTATTTACTTGATCTTCATATTGATGATTGTATGTAAACATATAAGCAATATGATAGAATGTTCTAGATGAGTTTCCAGACAAAATTTAATTGACTGATGTATATAGGAAATGTATTGGTACTACATATCATATGAATAAGTTGTAAAAGTCTGATAAAATTGACGAAAATGCATTGAATAGTGGAATTTAGTGTCAAGTTGAAATAGACAAATAAAACGCAAAATAAAAGATAAACAAAAGTGATGAGTATTTCACTAAGGTCACGGTAAATAGTGTTTGTACATGTTTCTTTTGAATACACAATTCAGGTTTGATTCTGTGAGCTGCCAAGGATTCAGCTATACATAAGTGTCTATTTTTTACCCTTCTTGAGTAGTTTGGTTGAAATACGCAGAGGGCTTTAAAGTTTACCAGAAGAGCCAAATGTCTAGAGTCTATGGGGTGTTCAACGATGGAGATAAGGACGATTTTTTGCTCATCTTTGAGCAACTAAGCTGGGTAGTGTTCACCACCGCATTCGGTAAGCAAGTACTTAGTACGGCCGATGTACACAGCTACAAAGGAGCAGGTGAATTTTTATATACTTACTGATGAGGCCCAATGCATCGACTTGTCTTTCTTGCACTGACATTAGAAGATAATGCAGAGGCATCCAGCTTTGAAAGTTGATCAGTTGCCCATTCTAAGTGAGCTTTCTGTACGTGAAAAAATTAGAAACCCTCTGACAAATACCGTGACAGAATGGCTGCTAAAGGATAAAGAATATCAACTATTTTGATATTTGACTTCATACAAGAAAAACCACAATAAAATGCAGCTATGGATAAACATATACATCACAGATGAATGTGCTTTCGGGGTCAAATGGTGGGAGTCAGTCGTCAGTAACTGCTGCAACAAGGTTTCGTGTTTGTTGGAACTAATCAGCAAAGTTTATCTTCAACCTTAAGTAAACTGATATTCCCTCAGAGATTCGAACGTACATCAGACACTGCTGAAGCCATAGACTACCACTAAGCTATTCTGGTCACGACTGGCCTTCTGTAGGACTGGACTGTGTACATAAGTCGGTTGTCAGAGGGCAATGGATGTAACTGTTTAGTTCTTAGTGCTTAGTACTAGTCAAAGTTTATCGATCAAGTTTTATAAAGTGGCCACTTAGCAAAGTGACACGACACTATGGTCTACTGTATTTTGGTGTAAGCTCTCAGCGATGGGGATTTTGAATAACAGGAAGACATCAGTTTCCGCATGGTTTCAAATACACTTTACTTATGATTAGCAACAAGTAAAAAACCTAAATCCAGGAGTTCCTGGCAACTTACTTTCAGTATCTGACACTAAGATACAGGAAACCTCAGTTTAGCGTCACTTTCCCCAGTAATCACGTTGCATAACTCGACTAGTACTAACCACTAACGTCTAGACGACTAAATCGACTATCCACTGGTGACCAATTTATGTACAAATATAAGTATACACTTGAATTTTCAATGTAGATAAATTGCTAGTTAGTTATTAAGAATTTTTCTTCTGTTATTCTTTTATTCACCCTTTCAACTTATTTTAGCCACTTTATATGTTCCAAGACATGTTTATTGGTTATACGGTGCGACATTTACACCAAGAGAACAATTTCATCAAATAATGGGTAAGTTATTTGCGGACTAGTTTTTTTTTAGTTATTAATGTTCACCACTACATACCAAGATATTTTTTATCATCAATGAATTGCTTCCATCTACTTACAACGCATAACTATCAAATGATTACTTCAAAGCTGAAGTAGTTGAATTGTGTAAATTATGTGAATCTTATCGTTTAAATGAAATGAAATTCTTCTACGGGACAGTTACCTACAGATCTCGTAAACTCAGCCCATGTCACATGTCACACTAAGTAAACTCCACAACAATGTCATTATTCTTAGTTTATTAATAATATCAAAGAATATCCAACTGGCAAGATTCGACCAGCCTTTTGGACTTGATATAGACACTAGTGATTGTCCAAGAACTAGCATTTCATGTGTCCTTCGCAACCTTTCACAGCCAACTGCCTTATCAATATTCAGTCAGTAGGCAAGGTTGGCAAAGTAAATAAGATAGGCAGTCAGTGAGTCCCTGATAAGTCACATACTACAAATGGCTGTGTTTTTTCTCTGCACTATTTAACGACATAGGTCTACATAGAAAAAACTGGTAGCGGTAAAAACGTTACAGTTATCTTGAATGAATCAGGCAGCTAACCTTGGAGGTAGACAACCAAGCAGATAATAATAAGCATGAGAAAGTTAATGACAGTGATGCATAGCTCAATGGAATTGCTATCTAACGCTGGCCAAGTCTTGCTCTTGCCTATATTAAGAATGGTGGAGAGATAGATATTGGATTGTATCTGTTGGTGGATAGTGGACAAATGTGTATATATGGTGAGGATATTTGATTCGGATAGGATATATGAATTGACTGTGAGTAGTTACGTGTCTATCTGTCTACAAAGTTGCTGGTATTAGTGTTGTTGTTAAATGTTGAGTAGTGAGCAGGATGAAGTAATAAGGTCGGCAGGTCATCACTAGTTCATTTCATGAACTTAGCTATAAAGATGAAGAAAAAAAAGGTAACAGTGAAATTAGTTCAGTATTCAATGAACAGAGCACCTAATTACTCATACTGTTTACCTGTATATTTTGTTATTTTACATCAGTGCTTCAGTATTAGGTAGAGTTAGATCTTATAGCACTTATTAACGATAATAGTTAGGGGTACATCCTATTATCACAGAAACTCATCAATCGTCAAAACAATATAGTGTTTCAAGTTGCCAAACATCACAAAACTCAGCAATAACAAAAAGATGTATAGCAAAAAGTCATAGATAAGCAAAGATTTATCAAAATGATCAGGATTTCAAAGATGAATAGTTTTTGACAGATCTCCAAGAATCTCTAACCGATGGTATTTCACATCTTAAGAGCCTCGTTCAAGTTATCTTGTACGTTCCTAAATTGCTACAACAGACAATCATTGATTTGATGGATAGATTTTACATCCAGGTGTGACCACCTTTGGCTTTCTCCCGGCTTATAACAGCTCGTGAAAACAATGTTCATCAAAGCAGGAGGTGAATTGATGTACACAGTACATACCATAAATACTGATAGATGGTAGTTGATTGGAGACAATCGGCAGGAAACCTTGGATCTATATTTCATACTTTTTGACATTTGCCGTCAAAGTGTATCTGAAACCTTGGAAGACGGATGTTTCTTCTGAAATTCAAACTCTCGTCATTCAGCGCTTCAGCCAGCTGTGTGATCATTAGAAACCAACCAATTTCATTTTGTTTCGTCCTGAGTGTTGACTGATGTATGTCGTTCATTTGCAATGTGGCCACTGAGCTACGTGTCTGACCATCGCGGTTCACTTTGAATAGTTTAGGTTGGATGAAGGCAATAGGCAGGAGGCCCTGGTCCTAGGCTGCAGATACACCTTGCTGACTAATGCAAACAAGCACAAAACCTAGATTCAGGACTTCTTTCCGATTGCCTCCATCCAAAAAATACATCAAGGTGCAGTGTGGTAGTGAGCCTTTTAACTTGGTTATCATATTGCAAACGATCGACAGAACTAGGTCAGCACCCAGGATTAAACAACATCAATTTGTTCGCTTTCTAGTAATCAATTAAACACAACTTGGTAAAGAAAAACACACGTTCATGTGACTTCTGCCTAACCTCACTGTTTCTACCTCGACTTTTTTATCATGTTGTCAAAATATTTTATAATATTTGGCAATACTGGAACTCTACAAATCACATTTTGAAAAAAATTACAAAACAAAAGTGTTAATCGATAAACTTACTATTTCCGGTTAGCAAATAACACTACTTATTAAGAAATAGGCACATATATCCATTTAATCAGTTTTTCGAAATTATTATTAACCACATTTATAAAGCTGAAACTGTTACCTTATCAAATCCCCTAATTATTGAAATCTCTTATCGACGAAGCTTGCATCACCCTTCCTGAGTGAGAGATGAGATCTTCGGCAGCAATCAACAATCAACTCCTCAATCTAGTCAGTTATATTCTAATCACATAGGTAATCACAGCTGAAATGCCAGATTGCTGCTTTTTAAATATAGTGGGCGTGGGGTTGAAATAAGGGGAGCAATGAGTGTGAGATATGACTGACGTTAGTTGGATAACACAGGTTGTGTACTCATTGTCGTCCTTGCTTGGGCCATCGGGACAGATACTTGAGACTGTGGGGTAATCTCTGTTAGTAGTCTCTTGTGTAAAGCATTTTCATGCATATAGGTCTAATTAGAAGCCGGTCTGATGACCCGTGACGCTTGGTCGACCTGGAAAACCAAAATACCATAGATCACATCGAATATGAAGGTGCATTGGTTGTGGATGAAAATATAAGACATGGAAATCAATCTATTTTTAAAAAGGTGGTTTCAGTCGTAAACATTATTCTGTGTTTATGAAACGTTTCAACTGGAACCTTCCATTTCAAGGTAGAAATCAATGATAAAATAACAAATTCATTCTTTTGAATGAGATACCAACATAAAGGCTAACTGGTATGGTAACGCTTGTATTACAAAAAAATCGGCCTTCAAAATATAGTCTCCAACCAGCCCTTTTTTTGTTTCGATTATTTCTTTTAAAATAGTGACTAACTTAAGAGATTCTGGTTATCTGATTATTTACTACTGGTAATAGTTTTATGTGGATTTAGCTAAAACATTTTTCGACAGTTGTGCAAATGAACTTACCACCCACTGAGGGTTAATAGTGTAGCTAGGTTTGCTTTACCGAAATGATGCGGGTGATTGATTGTTTTAGTTGTTATTCAGAAGGAAAATGTCAGTGTATTCCATACATATCTGATACAGTTAGTTAGTGAGTTGTAATTCTTTTAATCCATCAGTATTTGCTTCCATCAGACAAAAAGTAAAGGGATATAAACAGAGCACAACAACGTTGTAAAGTATGCGATGGAGAGAGATTGCTCTTTCGGTAGACGATTTTGAAAGATACTTTGTATCCAACCAATGATAGATTTAATTCTCACCTAAATTGAGGTGTGTTGAAGAAGGTATAAAGAAAAGAATGATTAAATTTTTAGTTGTCAAACAGTACAAAAATCTGTAAGATAAAAGAACGGAGTAAAATAGGACAACTAACGACTAACCAAACACACATCTTCTACCAAAAACAATCAAAGGTAATTTAGGAAAATAAATCTGAAAATCAATATCTTACATTGAACAAGTTGCATTACAGTTGTTTTGCAGTCGTTTTCATCTATGATCAATTCATTAAAATTCCAAAAACCTCTTCTCAAAACTATTTTCATGCAATTCAAAGTATTCATTGGATTTTTGAAAACCATACTTTTAGTTTTGATCAGCTATGGGGAAGAGTGGATTCCCTTTGATTTGTCACGGTATTGAATAGACGTTGTTATCACCATATCCAAAATTTCAGGTACATTGATTTTTTAGCTGAAAAACAGTAATGCCTATCATACTTTTATGATCAGTTGTAAAATTTTTACGCGTTTAAGATGTCATGGTGAATTAACTTTCAAGATTTTTTCTAGTCTCTAATTTCCACATCAATAGTTATTGTTTAACAGCTTTTACTTCATGTAAGTCTTGTGTCATTTTCCTGATTCACACTAGAATTATGTGTTTTGATGTCTGAATAGTTTGAGGTATTTGATATGAAACCACATTGAAAAGTTGATGAAGAGCGTCCAATCAACAGTTATTGAATAATGTGAAATTTGATATTCCTCTTTTAATGCATAGTTTTCAGTCAACATGTCATCATCTGATGCAAAATAAAATGTCTTCTTTGGTTTTGATAAAATTTTTTTTTAAGCCGGCCGACGAATGCATATTAGCGTTTTTGGATTACGTGATCCGATAAGTGTAGCTGGTGTATTCATTGGTGTTGCATTAGTATCACCTTATTTGAGAACATGGCCGCATCTTCTGTCTGACTTTTTGAGTTCATCAGAAGTCTCTTTATTAAGACCATTCTATTGGGTGGATAGGCCTATACTTGAACATATTGGCTGCCTATTGTACACTTTACCTTCTTCTATTCGTTGGGGTAGTACAGTAATCATAAGCTCCTTCAGACAATATCCTTGGTCATTAGCTAACCCATCTGCAAAGTTATCATCATCAACATGAACAATCAATTATCTCTTCAAATACAACAAACAAATGTTTGACCTTTTAAAATCCAGCATCATTCTCCAGATATCTACCTACATCAGTCAAATTTATGATTCATAGAGAGAAGATAGCTCACAACCTATCATTATCTACATAGTGTTCGTACTATAGACAAACTCATACTTTTATTTATTTGTGTATTTAGATTTCGTGATAAATTCAACTAATTTTCATACTTTTCAATGTCAAATTTCTAACAATTTTCCAGTGTATTTTATCAATTTTTGCCTCTTAGCAACATTATCAGTTATTTGTTTGTTTCTTCTTCTCCTTTCTTTGGAAAAAAGAATATCTTTACGAATAATTTACGATCAACTTTGGTTTTATCGATTAATTTGCACCTCCAGATTTCTCCTGTGATATGGAGTTTACTTCTGTGTACATCTGTTTAGTTTTAAAAGTCAGTTTTTTACAATTTACTAGACTATAACGCCATACTGATGGTTTCTTGTCAGCCTGAGTAAAAATAAAGTTCATGCATGCTGATTTGTGTATAAGCAGATAATGACAGCGGGTTTGCGTTTATGTGCTCATTGACCACTTCCACGTTTGTTTCTTTCACTTCAATACAGCTTTCTGTTTATTCTCGCTAACCCTTATCAGAGTAACAGTGAAAATATATGTAAAGTAGATCCCAGTCATTGGCATTTCGTTACTGCACAATTATCTCATCTTCTGACCACAGTCATACAACTATGTGCATTTTTATTCAGAAGAAAAATAAAGTCTTGCAAAAAAAGGGATTTTGCTTTCGCATTTGTAATAAAATAAAATGAGTGTGTGAGTCTGGTTGGCAAATAACATATATAGGATATCGGCTGGCCATCTGACTTTAATTTAGATATAATACAGACTGCATTTACAGATTGTTCGGAGAATATTTTAAAGCCTAGTCTTAAGATCATCATTCATTCATAAAACTTCCTTGAAAACTTTCTGGAGTCTGATTAGAATACTGTCTTGAGACTAATACACTGACAATTCAAAATATGCTGACAAGACTACCGTGCCAAACTGGTTACAAATAAAGCCATACCTGTCCATCAGTAGTATATTTAAAGAGTGAAACTGACTAGTTGTATGTTGTCTCTACCTGCAGACTTATCTGTTTCTCAGTATACTGCTTTTCGTAAGGCCTTTACAACAATGTATAATGAGCATTTCGTCCTATTTGGGACTTGTTAGCTAGATGTACCTGCTTTCCAGCTAACGAGTCCCAAATAGGACAAAATGCGCATCTTGAATTCTACTGGTAGCCGCGATCCATCATTAGCATAATTAGAAGGCTGGCGATATCGAGGCATCCGTACAGGAGCCCATATGCTAATAGAGACCGATCAATTCGGTCCAATCAACGACGGTACCATATAAAAACAATTATACTAATGTATAATGAGACCCAGTTGGTGGGAACGTTAGAAACTAAGAAACTTGGTTAGTAAGGCTGACAGTCATTCCAAAGTAGTATTTATCACCAACTGAAATCAACTGCAGAGCCAACGGCAACGTGAAAGCACTTTTCAGAGTTGCCTACCAATGAACTCATTTAAGATCTAGCCCAAGAATGTCAGGTTTTGCGCCAAGCATGTTATCATTCAGCCACCGACAGTAAGTTCTGCGAGAATGAACTGTTGGTTCAATGGACGATTGTTAGTCATTCTTGATCATTTGACTGTAAACGTGGATAGTTTATTAGTATGTCAATTTCATCTGAAGAAATGTTTTGTGAAGTAGTGAAGCTTACCTGAATCCCATATTGAAATGTATACGTCGTGTTTTGCGGTTCTGATGACTTTGGAATCAATGAAATCAACAAAACGTGCGTCCTACATGCCACTGCTAACCACTAACCAGCATTACTATAACTACTATTACTTGTCTACTTCTTATCGCTAGACTAGCATTCATTATCTGATTTATTTTTGACATATTTCTGCTCCTGCCTGATTGAAGAAGAGGTGTTGCTTGTAGAAAAACACACATATTTACAAGAGACAAAGTAGATCGTGGTGCAGCAGCATGTGTAGGAAAAGGGAATAGAAAAATAATACCAGAGTACGCAAAATTGTATGAAAGAGAGGGGAATAAATAAGTTAGGATAATGATCAAATTTTCGAAGTTGACAAAGAGTACATATATCTGGATAATTCTGACTGAGTTCCAGCAGTAACTAGCCACTGACTTCAACCTAAAGCTTTCCTTTTACCTAACCTTAATTTGGCCAGCATATTGCAGTGAGGTATTTGGTAAAGGGTTCACAACTTCATCAACCGAATTGCCTTCCTTGTCTAGTACTCAATCCTTAATTAAAACATTGCTCATAAAGTGGACTCACCATATACAGGAATGATGTCAAAAGTTCATATCCTCTTCATGTCTTCTGCACTCAACGACTACAACTTACAAACTTACAACAGGATAAAGTGATCTCCTGCTTAGTATACTTTTCCTATGACTGGTAGCCAAATATTTCACAATAGTTAGAGATTACGTCAGTTTATAAATACCAAAAAAACATTATGTATCCGCGTCAAGATTTTCTCGGTCCACAACCTGTTATAACTGATCCAACTCTTCAGATAATCGAATTCATGGATGTATTTCTCCGCTGCATTCTCCAACCTTTATAAATGACACTAGGTAGCTAATCCGTTTGCATTTCCATGGAGTTTCTTAAGTAGTGGATATCGCGGTAATGGGAATCTCTGAATGAATGCAAGGTACAGAAAAGACTGTTGGCAATATGCTTGGTGTCTTCTCCGGGCAAGCTATGAAGAGTACTTTCGTGACTGCTGAAGTGGCTCTAATTGAGCACACACAACGATAAAACTTGTATCATCCCTCCTGAGTGAGAGATGAGATCTTCGGCAGCAATCAACAATCAACTCCTCAATCTAGTCAGTTATATTCTACTCACATAGGTAATCACAGCTGAAATGCCAGATTGCTGCTTTTTAAATATGGTGGGAGTGGGGTTGAAATTAGTGGAGCAATGAGTGTGAGATATGACTGACGTTAGTTGGATAACACAGGTTGTGTACTCATTGCCGTCCCTGTTTGGGCCATCGTGACAGATACTTGAGACTGTGGGGTAATCTCTTGCTGACTAATGCAAACAAGCACAAAACCTAGATTCAGGACTTCTTTCCGATTGCCTCCATCCAAAAAATACATCAAGGTGCAGTGTGGTAGTCAGCCTTTTAACTTGGTTATCATATTGCAAACGATCGATAGAACTAGGTCAGCACCCAGGATTAAACAACATCAATTTGTTCGCTTTCTAGTAATCAATTAAACACAACTTGGTAAAGAAAAACACACGTTCATGTGACTTCTGCCTAACCTCACTGTTTCTACCTCGACTTTTTTTATCATGTTGTCAAAATATTTTATAATATTTGGCAATACTGGAACTCAACAAATCACATTTTGAAAAAAATTGCAAAACAAAAGTGTTAATCGATAAACTTACTATTTTCGGTTAGCAAATAACACTACTTATTAAGAAATAGGCACATATATCCATTTAATCAGTTTTTCGAAATTATTATTAACCACATTTATAAAGCTGAGACTGTTACCTTATCAAATCCCCTAATTATTGAAATCTCTTATCGACGAAGCTTGCATCACCCCACCTGAGTGAGAGATGAGATCTTCGGCAGCAATCAACAATCAACTCCTCAATCTAGTCAGTTATATTCTACTCACATAGGTAATCACAGCTGAAATGCCAGATTGCTGCTTTTTAAATATGGTGGGAGTGGGGTTGAAATTAGTGGAGCAATGAGTGTGAGATATGACTGACGTTAGTGGGATAACACAGGTTGTGTACTCATTGCCGTCCCTGTTTGGGCCATCGTGACAGATACTTGAGACTGTGGGGTAATCTCTTGCTGACTAATGCAAACAAGCACAAAACCTAGATTCAGGACTTCTTTCCGATTGCCTCCATCCAAAAAATACATCAAGGTGCAGTGTGGTAGTCAGCCTTTTAACTTGGTTATCATATTGCAAACGATCGATAGAACTAGGTCAGCACCCAGGATTAAACAACATCAATTTGTTCGCTTTCTAGTAATCAATTAAACACAACTTGGTAAAGAAAAACACACGTTCATGTGACTTCTGCCTAACCTCACTGTTTCTACCTCGACTTTTTTTATCATGTTGTCAAAATATTTTATAATATTTGGCAATACTGGAACTCAACAAATCACATTTTGAAAAAAATTGCAAAACAAAAGTGTTAATCGATAAACTTACTATTTTCGGTTAGCAAATAACACTACTTATTAAGAAATAGGCACATATATCCATTTAATCAGTTTTTCGAAATTATTATTAACCACATTTATAAAGCTGAGACTGTTACCTTATCAAATCCCCTAATTATTGAAATCTCTTATCGACGAAGCTTGCATCACCCCACCTGAGTGAGAGATGAGATCTTCGGCAGCAATCAACAATCAACTCCTCAATCTAGTCAGTTATATTCTACTCACATAGGTAATCACAGCTGAAATGCCAGATTGCTGCTTTTTAAATATGGTGGGAGTGGGGCTGAAATTAGTGGAGCAATGAGTGTGAGATATGACTGACGTTAGTGGGATAATACAGGTTGTGTATTCATTGTCGTCCTTGCTTGGGTTGTAGGGATAGATACCGGGAACTTCGGAGTCAACTCCGTCGGTAGCAGTGCATAGTCCGTTGTGTGCACTATTCTCGTAGGACAGGGTAAGTTAGCTGTAACATACATATAATTCATGACAACAAAACCTAGCCTGGTTAACTAGTTCACTAGTTACTAGCCCTATGTTCCACTCGGAACCCAAGGGAAAAATAATAATAATGACAAAAAATGAACATAAAATAAACAAGAAGCTTATTACGTCAAACATTTCAGTCCCACCAATAAAAGCGAAACCCAGTGATGAAAGAAAATAAAAAGGAGA